GTCAAGTTGGTTCCGACTCATAGTAACCCTGTGTACAACAGAATGAAACACTGCCTGGTCCTGTGCCATCCTCACAATTGTTGTTACGCTTGAGCCTGTTGTTGCAGCCACTGTGTCAATCCATCTCGCTGAGGGTCTTCCTCTTTTTCACTGACCCTCTACTTTACCAGGCATGAAGTCCTTGTCCAGGGACTGGTCCCTCCTGATAACATGTCCAAAGTATGTAAGATGTAGTCTCGCCATCCTTGCTTCTAAGGAGCATTCTGGTTGTACTTCTTTCAAGACAGATTTGTTCAATAGGAGATAGGGCTTTTCATTTCTAAGATGGGAGAAATAACACCGTGTGTAGGCTGAGGGGAAAAATCCAGTAGCGATGGAGAAATGGATGGAGCAGGAGAGAGAGAATAGCCGCAGTGATGCCAGTGGTTAGGGGCCAAGGCGGTGTCCAGTGCAGGAATGGAGGGCAGGGCACGAAGGCGTGTCCATTACTGTGAAGGGAAGTCAGCACAGTGGGTGAGCGATGCAGAGCTGAGACCCTGTGAAAATGGTCTTTTGTTTGCTTACGGTTTCTCAGTGAAATACCTATAGTCTTCTTATATATTATTTCCCCTTTATTTTTCCTTTATATGGCAGCTAGGACATTATATTGATTTCTTGGAATTGATGTGTGTAAGTAGGTTACGTTGTCTAGGAATCTCATTTCAGGGTGGGAAAGCGGCCACACAAAATATTCTTAGTGAAAAAGAAGGTACTGGTCTGACAGGCTTAACCCCACTGTTGTCAGTGGTGTCACTAAGATTGGTGTTACCCAGTGGGGCAACTCACGGTGTCACCGCCCCCATGGACATCCTCGGCACCAGACCATACAGAATCCTTAGTAATGGTTTTTGTACTAACGTTACTTGTAAATCATAATTCCCGTGTATCACTCCTCTTCGCCTTTAATTACTACTTCATTCTCAAAAAGGTTATTGATATAGGCTCACAAATGCTAATTACCACAATATTGTAGCTAAAACACCAGCAAATTGACAAAATCAGTGACTATGAGAACATGGGCAACAACGAAAACGACAGCGTGCGCAGACAAAACCACAAAGATTCGCCGCATCATTGTAATTGGGCAACAGCAACAGCTCTGACCGAGCGCATTAGAAGGTTCAAGAAGTTAATTAGCACAGAGTTTTAGCTTTGTAAGTACATTGATACATGTAAGCTGGGCTTACGAAAAATGTTTTTGTTGTTCTAACTACAGGGATATTTTACAGACAGTCATTTTGGTGTCATCCTCTCTGACAGTGGCATCCAGCACGGTCCGCACCCCCCTCGTGATGCCACTCACTGTTGTAGGGGCTTGCCTTACTTATCTAGTGCTGCTATAACAGAAATACCACAAGTGGATGGCTTCAACAAACAAGTTTATTATCTCACAGTTTGGGAAGCTAGAAGTCCAAATTCAGGGTGTCAGCTCCAGGGAAAGGATTTCTCTCTCTGTCATCTCTGGAGGAAGGTCTTTGTCATCAATCTTCCCTTGGTCTAGGAGCTTCTCAGCACAGGGACCCCAGGTCCAAATGACTGGTGTTTCTCCCAGTGTTTCTTTCTTGGTGGTATGAGGTCCCTATGTCTCTCTGCTCTTTTTCTTTTTTATATCTCAAAAGAGATTGGCTTAAAAGACAGCCTAATCTTGTAGATTGAGTCCTGCTTCATTAACATAACTGCTGCTGATCCCATCTCATCAACATCATAGAGATAGGATTTACAACACATAGGAAAATCACATCAGATGACAAATGGTGGACAATCACACAATACTGGGAATCATAGCCTAGCCAAACTGGGGGACACAATTCAATCCATGACAGGCCCGTGAGGTTGAAGAACTACAGGAAAAAAAAAAATACTATTATCCAGGCAGTATGGAGTCTCCTCTCTGGTCTCCATTTCCCCATCAACGTAATGAGTGGCAGTCTGACTAGCAAAAATCTCTAAGCCTTTTCCAGCTCTAACTGTTGCTGTTGAGTTGTTTTGGACTCATGATGACCCCATGTGTTACAGAATAGTACTGCTCCATAGGGTTTTCTTGGCTGTAATCCTTATGGAAGCAGATTGCCAGGCCTTTGTTTTGGGGTGCTTGGTAAAGTAGAGGGTCAGCGAAAAAGAGAAAGACCCTTAACGAGATGGATTGATACAGTGGCTGCAACGATGGGCTCAAGCATAGCAATGATTGTGAGGATGGTGCAGAACTGCGCAGTATTTCGTACTGTTATATATAGGGTCGCTATGAGTCGGAACCGACTCGACGGCACCTATCAACAACAATAACTGGGTGGGTTTGAAACACCACCCAGCAGTAGTAGGCACCCAAAGGTTGGTAGTCAAGCGCAAACCATTTGTGCCACACAAGGACCCTGGTTGGAGGTTCAAACTCACCCAGAGGTGCCTCTGAAGACAGGCCTGGCAATCTGCTTCTGAGAGGTCACAGCCTTGAAACCCCTACTCTGCACATATGGGGTCACCATGAGTCAGAATTGACTCATCAGTAACTAACAACAGGAATTCAAATATTCAGGATATCCAGTAGATATCGTTATTAGTATCTACTATTTATTAGGAGCAGGAACTCTGGTGGTGCAGTGGTTAAATGCTTGGCTGCTAACCGAAAAGTCGATAGTTTGAACTCACCAGCTGCTCCACGGGAGAAAGATGTGGCAATCTGCTTCTGTGTAAAGATTTACAGCCTTGGAAACCCTATGGGGGCAGTTCTACTCTGTCATATGGGCTCACCATGAGGTGCAATCAATTCCACAGCACACAACAGCAGCAATTTATTAGGAGTCCTTGAGTGATGTAAATGGTTAACACACACCCACAGGTTGGAGGTTCGAGGCCACCCAGAGGCACCTCGGAGGAAAGGCCTGGTGATCTACTTCTGAAAAATTAACCATTGAAAATCTGGTGGAGCACAGTTCTACTCTGACCCACATGGACTTGACAACTAGTTACTGTTTATTGAGTGCACCCTGCCGGGAGATATGTGATGCTAGATTATCCTCCCAATAATCCCGAATCCGAGGGGTGAAGTTACTTAGCCAGGGTCACACAGCAGGCAGCATTTGAACCCCAGGCTGAGTAACTGCAGAGCCTGGGGGTTTCTGACAGACAAGGGGAAGGAAGGATGGGAGGAGCCCTCGGTGACAGTTGTCTCAGGACGGACGCAAACAGGATGTGGTGTTGGATGAAACCTTCCCCCCTACCTTACACCCCGCCCCCTGCAGCCCTGGTTCCCACCCCTAGAAGACAGCAGAACTGAGAAAAGAAGAAGCCTTTGGACAGAAAAGCCATGGTCAGGGGCCAGGGGTCGTATGGGAAGGCTGGGGCTGAGGGCTGGGAGGGCACCTGGGTGAGGGCCGGGTGTGGGATTGGAGGTCAGGGTCTGGGAAGGGGATTCCATTGTGGCAGAGGGCTTGGCTGGGGAAAGAGAGAGGGTGGTTCCGGGTTTAGACCCGGGCAGGCAGATCTCGGGGTCTTTTTGGCAGTTGCCCAAGGGTGCCCGCCCAGAGAACCAGTAGGGGCTGAGATCCAGCCTCTGCACTGCTCCCCGAGCTGTGTGCCCCGGTGAGGGGCAGCGTCTGCTCTGGGGATGGGCCACCTTTTCCTAATTTGCACGAGGGCATCATATGGGCTAGCGTGGCCCTCTCTTCATTAGTGGATGGAGAAACTGAGGTTTGGGGGAGGGGGCGGGGCCCGAAGTCAGCTCAGCTCTCACTGGACCCCACTGGCAGTCTGACTCTCTGGTGGTGTGCGAGGTGGACCCAGAGCTAAAGGAAAAGCTGAGGAAATTCCGCTTCCGGAAAGAGACAGACAATGCAGCCATAATAAGTGAGTGACACCTTCCCCCACAGAGGGATGGGAAGGGGGCGGGGCGTGCGGACTGGGCTGGCAGGGTCTAACTCTCCTGTGCTATTCCTCCCCAGTGAAGGTGGACAAGGAGCGGCAGATGGTGGTGCTGGAGGAAGAATTCCAGGTGAGGGGCTGGGGCGAATGGGGCCCCCAAGACGTCCAGGGACTGGGAGACCCAAAGGGCTGGACCTGATGCTGAAAGCCTGGCATCTGGAGCCAGAAAGACCTGGAAGTCAAGTTCCAGCTCAGCTGTGATCCTAGGCAAGAGACTCTGCCCATCTGGGTCAGCCTCTGTTTCCTCACCTGTGAGATGGGGTAATAATATTACCTACCTCATAGGGCTGTTTGGGGAGTCTTTGAGTTAATCTTTTTCATGGATGTAGAGCAAGGCCTGGCACATAGTATATGCTCAATAAAGTGATGATAATTATAATTATAATAACAGTAATTGATTGGCACTTAAATGAGCTTCCTGCCAAGTTAACAAATGCTATTGGAAAGCCTTTATCAAAGGGTGGACCTAACCCTTTCCTGGCCTCAATGTCTTTATCACTAACATGCGAATGATAAGAAGGCTTACTTCACAGTGTTGCATTAAGGATTTAGTTGGAGGTCCACGGAGGCTGGCAGCACGTGCTAACCAATGGCACCCCTGGAGCCCTGGCGGCGTAGTGCTGAAGACCTCAGCTGCTAACCAAAATGTCGGCAGTTCGAATCCACCAGCTGCTCCTTGGAAACCCTATGGGGCAGTTCTACTCTGTCCCATAAGGTTGCTATGAGTTGCAATCAACTCCACGGCAACAGATTTGGTTTCCTTTTTTTTTTTTTTTTTAACGGAGCCTGGGGCTATTTGAGAGGAGATGGGGATTCGCTAGGAGCTGGGCTCCTTCAGGTCCCCTGAAAGGAAGTGTAGCAAAATGGTTACAATTTGAACCCAGATTCATATCTGAATTCTGCTGCTCACTCTCTGTGCAACATTTGTGCAGTCCCTTAACACCTCTGGGAGCCCTGGTGGCACAGTGATTAATAGCTCGGCTGCTAACCAAAAGGTCTGCATTTCGAATCCACCAACTCCTCCTTGAAAAGCCTATGGGGCAGTTCTACTCTGTGCTGTAGGGTCGTCATGGGTTGGAATCGACTCGACGACAGTGGGTTTTTAACGTCTCTGGGCCTCGCTTTCCTCATCTGTAAAATGGGGATAATAGGGTTATGAGAAAGGTCAATGAGTTAGCCCATGTGCGTTTCTTAGAACAATGTCTTGGCACATAGTAAACACTCATTTAATGGCAGCCATTACTTTTTTTCTCTCCTGCTTCTTGCCTCAGAACATTTCCCCAGATGAGCTGAAAATGGAGTTGCCGGAGAGACAGCCCAGGTATCCAGGGGGAAGGAAGGAGAAAGTCGGGCCATGGGGAGAAGGGTGAGGATGGAGGTGCAGACCGAGAGACTGCTTGGGCTCCATCTTATTCCTGGGCTCAAGATCTCTGTGCTTGAGACCAGGAGTCCATACCCAGGAACTTTTTGTTTGTTTGCTAATATTTTATTGCAGATTTTTGCACTGATACTCACACATGATATTGGTTTACAGTTTGCCTTTTTGTACAAACTTTGTCAGGCTTTGGTTTCAACATTACACTTGCTTCATTTAAAAAAAAAAAAAAGTTTTCCTTCTTTTTCAGTGCTCTGGGATACTTTAGGAACACAAAGGCATAGTTTGACCTTTAAACATTAGATAGAATCTTCTGTGAAGCCACAGAAGCCAGGTGCTTTTTGTTGTTCTTGGGAAACTCTTTGACCACGTTCTTCTATGAAAACTGGTCTGTTTAGATTCTCCATCTTGACTGGGGTCCATTTTGGGCGCCCTGGGATTTTGAAAGGTGAGCTGGTGGTGCGATGGTTAAGAGCTTGGCTCCTAACAGAAAGGCTGGCGGTTGGAACCCAGTAGTGGCTCCTTGGAGAAAAGACCCGATCATCTCCTCCTGTAAAGATTACAGCCTAGAAAAACCCTATGAGGCAGCTCTCCTCTGTCCTGTAGGGGTGCTATGAGTCAGATATTCCAGATGGGAGTAAATCCAGGAAGCCCTCTTGGAGGAGGAGAAGAACAGAAGAGGTCATTATTAATATCTACTATTTATTGGGAGCAGGAGCCCTGGTGGCACAGTGGTTAAGTGCTCAGCTGCTAACCGGAAGTTGGGCGGTTTGAACCCACCAGCTGCTCCGCGGGAGAACGATGTGGCAGTCTGCTTCTGTAAAGATTTACAGCCTTGGAAACCCTGTGGGGCAGTTGTCCTCTGTCATATAGGCAGAGTACAATAACAACAAAGCAAAAATAACAACAGGATTTTGAGGAGTCCCTGGGTGGTGCAAACAGGTAACACACTTGGCTGCTAACCAAAAGGTTGGTGGTTTGAGTCCACTCAGAGGCGCCTCCAAAGAAAGACCTGGCAATCGACTTCTGAAAAATCAGCCAGTGAAAACCCTATGGAGCACAGTTCTACTCCGAATTGGCTCCACAGCGACCGGCATCTTTTTACTGGAGGGTTTTGAGCCGCGATCCTAGGCTCTAGGTAAATAGAGTCCTCCCGGCAGTGTGGGAACAGCCCCAGTGCATCTCGTGAACATTTTCTCTAAGTTCGACAGGGAACGAGTTTGTGCCAGCCTACGAGCCCCCGGGGAGGGTGACCTCGGCCAGACCAAGCCTGCGGCAAATTTAATCAGGTCTTCCCAGAAGACCTAGAACCGTCTCTGCACCTCCAGGGCCGGGCCAAGTGCGGCAGCACGGAGCCTTACGCTCAGAGGGGCCCTCGCACTTGGGGGTTAATGCTCTGAAGCTGCCTTCTTGAATCTTACTCATTTTATCTTTGGGTTTGTGTTTTGTAAGTGAAGGCCGATGGGACGTGGCGCCTAGGCTCACATGAGGTCCCCCACTCCCCGCCCCGTCCAGTGACCACTCCTGCCCTCCCTGGTAGGTCCGGATCGTCTGGAAAGCACCCCTGCACAGTGGGCTGCCAGACAGCCGCCCCGCCCTCCCTGCCCCTTCTACCCATGCCTATGAGGGTCGGCACTCATGCTGTGAGCATCCCCATGCCCCACAGAGTTTGACATCAAATAGCAGATAAAAACCACCACCACAGGTCTGGAGAGAGACTGCGGATGAATGGAAAAAGCCCTACATTTTCATCTGGCGCTGGCCCAGCAAGTTAGAGCCGGCCCTGCTCTCAGCCTGGGTTACAGAGTGCTGGGCAGTATCGCGTAGAGGCTGGGCACTTACACTCAGGAGCTGAATTTCCTGGGCTCAAATCGTTCCTCTGCCCTTAGAAGCTTGGCAAGTGGCTTCACCTCTCTGGGCCTCAGTTCTCCCATCTGTAGGAGTGGGATAATAATAGCACCTACTTCACGGGGCTGTTGGGAGAGTCAATTAAGCACTTGCTGTGCTGATTTTTTTAAGCATTTGTTGTGTTGGAGGCCAGGACTCTGGGTCCTAGTGTTCCGCCTAGGTTCTCAGACTCCGTTGAGATTTCTAGGGTATGTCTCGGGTCATGGGCATTGGGCCTGGGCTCCAGGCCAAAGTCCTGAGTTTGAATTCTCTTCCACTGGTGTAGATTCGTGGTTTACAGCTACAAGTACGTGCACGGGGACGGCCGCGTGTCCTACCCTTTGTGCTTCATCTTCTCCAGCCCTGTGGGTGAGACACAGCTCTGTCCCTCCTGAGAAGAGGGGCTTGGACTCTGGGTGTGGAAGTGTATGTATGCGAGTGCATCTGTGTGCTGTGTGTGACTGTGTGTGGGAACGTGTGGGCGCCTGTGTTAGGTGTGAGGGTGCGTGTGTGTGACTGTGTGCGTGTATGACTATGTATGAGTGTATGAATTCGTGTGTGTGTGCCGGCATGAGAACGTGTAACTGGGTTAGAGTGTGTGTGTATGTGAATGTGTGCAAGTGCCTGTGTGAGTGTGTGCGAGATCTGTGTAGACACCCGTG